ACTCTGGAAAGAGAATTGGCCATCAATTTCCTTCCTGAAATTAGGATGCCCTATTACCCTCAATCTTATTTACAAACTTGTAGTCCCATATAACACATTGCTGGACAGGAGCCTAAAATTTCTGTTGAACAGTCGAGAACAGTGGGTCTTAACCTGTGGGTCGTGGACCACCAGTGGGCTGTGAGGATGAAAATCTGGTCCGCGAGCCATCTTCCCCTTTATTTTATTTTATTTATTTTATTTCCACTCCTTTCATACTGCCTGCTACTTCTTCCCTGTTGCTGACCATGGCATATGTTCTGTATGAGAAACTAGAGCTGATGTGGTCTATCAAATGAAAATTTCAGAATCAGCATCCCAAACCAAATTTAAAGTTGACCAAAAAATGATTTGTAACCCTTTTAGTACTAATGCTGGAGAGTGGTGGTCTCTGGTCAAGTGGTCCCTGGTTGCAGTCATGAGAATGAAGGTTGGGAACCACTGGTCTACAAAGATGCGATGACACCTGAAATCCCTCTTCTTTCTTTTTAGCAGAAAAGCATTTATAAATCACTATAGTTTATTTCCTCCCTTAGGAAATTATTTCCTTAATTATTTCCCTCTTCCCAGTTAAGATCATCAGACTAATACTAAGTACCTTCCACACAAACCCAACATCTTAGCTATATCAGATATTTTTTGCATCACCCCAGTCATTTCAGGAGAGTTTTCCCAAAGGACATTCTTCCAGGAAAACAACTGAATGTCTTGTTGTTGAGCCTCTGAAATCTAGGCACTTACCTTACTTAAAACTGACAACAGATGATATTTTTTTGGACACCTTTCTAAGGAAATGCAGATACAAAGCAGAAACTGGTCTTTTATGTTCGTTTTTTGCTGCAAGCCACAAACCATGATGTGACTTGGCGGGTTTCCTTGTTTACCATGAAGGCTGTCAAATACAAGAAAGAGTGTGGAGAATCCATTTGGCAAATTGTTAGAGAGGCCTGAAATTCTGAGAACTATTCCTAACATAAATCTTGAAGTTGTTGTCTCTTCCTATTGATCACATTGTGTTATACATATTTTTTCTCATGTTAGCAATACTTTGTGTTTCATAAGTAGCATGTGTATATGTCACTCACTATCTAATCTAGTGAATTTTAATAAAATAATCCATTATCTTTATGCAAATCTTTTGGTTTGATTTTAACTTACGATATGCCAAGAAGAGACCAGTAAATGTTCTATTAGGACCACTATTCCTTTGCTAACTTTGATGACAAATAACCTGCAAGGCTTCCCCTGTGTCCAGAACACCTCCCTTACTTACCCCTTTAGACCTTCAGTAATTCTGTCTCTGAATTCCAGCCTCTTGACACATTATCTGACTCAAGCGTATGCCCCACTTCATTAAGCCCATAAGCCAGTGGCTAGATGCTATCTTACTTGTATCCGTTTGCAATTTAAAATAGGCCCTTGCTCTAGATCAAAGCTGTGGCAGCAACAGCGCAAAGAGAAATTAGAATCTCATGGCATTTCCCTTCAATTTCGTTGCCACTCTGCGTCTCACTCATTACCAAGAGAATGAAATCTGCTACAGTTCAGGCGGGCGCTCTCTTTTATCCTGTGGCCTCCGCCTGACACATTATTGCCACATTTAACACCGATTGGTCATGGCCCTTCTCCTCCAAATTGGACAGTGCTCCATACACTGGTTTAAAAACCTCCCTCCGTCAGAGGGACACAAAAGCAGCAACACCACCTCCCCCCTCAAAACCCCTTTGGGGCTCTTTCCATCCTGCTCTTGTTATGATCCATGCATTCCCTTGTGCTTTTAAACAAAATAACGGAAACGCTCTCCCCCGACTGTGAATTTTCATGCTGGATTGACAGCCCCAGAGACTGCGGCTCGCCTTGTTTTCCCCTTTCTTCTTCTTTATCTGCTCCAATACAGTGCCAGTCTTGTCAGCCTGGCTGGCAGCTTTTGCTGCTGACCTGCTGGAATCCCCTTTGACTGGAGGCATTTTGAATTTCTGTTCCAGTGATCCTTTCAGCTCTTGTCTTCCACATAACCCAGAGCTGTCAGGCAAAATTGTCCCAATTTTTACAGAGGCCATTGATAGGCAGAGTGAGATGTCTTGATAATGCAGCTTACCTTTTTGGACCACAACTCCAAGAATCTCTCTGCCAGCCATGTAGTTAAAAGAAGAAGAAGAAATAACATTTCCAACCTCTGATAGTGCATGTTGTTAAAGGGAAGCAATTGTGAGCCATTGAATAGCTTGCAAAGGCAGCTGTATTGGCCATAAAACAACAACAAACCCAGGGAGATCTAAAACCTATCTTATGGGAATACCTCTGTCATGCTTACCAAAAGATGTAAAATACATCACACTAGCTTTCGAAGCTTTGCAGGCATTTTCATCAGGCCAACATGGTAAGACAGCTTACAGGGGAAATGAAGTGAGAATATTGTAATGCCAGCATCAACATTCTGGTTTGAATGTTATGGGAAGTGTCAGTGGATGGAATGGGAGGTTCTGCCTCCCCCATTGTTTTAAAAGTGGGAACAAAGACAATTAAACAAAGGCAATAGAGTTTGGTTTCTCCATTTGAAGCTACAAAAGACAGCCCTCTGAAAGGGTGTGCTAGTTATGCTTTTTGTAAGTGCACTTATGTAAGCAGGAGTTAGAATTGGATTGTTTCATAACATCTATATCTTATAGAGGACTGGCAGTACATTATTATATAGCAGAGCTTCCAGAGTAATAGTTGGGTTGTTGTGCGTTTTCCGGGCTGTATAGACATGTTCCAGAAGCATTCTTTCCTGACATTTCACCTGCATCTATGGCAAGCATCCTCAGAGGTTATGAGGTCTGTTGGAAACTAAGATGCCTGCCATAGATGCAGGTGAAACATCAGGAGAGAATGCTTCTGAAACATGGCCATACAGCCCAAAAAACTCACAACAACCCAGTGATTCCAGCCATGAAAGTCTTTGACAATGCAAAGTAATAGTTGCTCAAAGGGACTGATACACAATGGGAAGTGAGGCAATTTCTTATCAACCATGGAAAAACAGAACCAAAAAGGGCTGCAGAAAAAGGTCAAATTGCATAGAGGCTTTATAGTAAGAGAGAACACAAATATAGTACTTTCTCTCCATCTTTTTTAACCTCTTCATGTGTTTTGTTTTTTGTTTTTAATTAGGATGGCTGAGACTTCAACCAGAAAGAAGAGGAAAATCCGTCTTTTGCTACTCAATGATTTCACCAGCACCTCTCCCAAAGCTTTGATGCCACACAAACTATTTCTTTCTATATTTCTGATTTTTCAATTTAGGGTTAAAAGCTCCTTTAACACCTCACATAACTATTTTTCTCAGTTCTTCAACATTTTATCTAATGTTGGATATCTGGGTCAGAGAAAACGGAGACATGCCATTTCCAGTAGAACCAATGGTGATAGAGGGAAGGCTGTCTAACAAAACATGAATGCAACTGCATCCTCCATCTTAGATTCTCCAGCAACAGATTCAGATGCTCTCTGATATCAGAAGTGACTTGGGTCCCATCTCTAAGATGTATCATTAAGTATATCCAAAAGATTTCTGGTCCCAAGCACTTTCAGAGAAGGGATACTCAACCTGTATAGTCAAGCTCTCTAATAGGGGCCACTGATAGATCTATCATCTATTAATTTATCTAGTCCCTTTTTGAAATCCTCCAAATTGGTACCCATCATCTTGCAGCAGTGAATCCCACGCTTTAAATCTGCTCTGTTTAATTCTGCTCTATACATGTATCTGTCCTGAATTCTCCACCATTTAGTTCCCGTAGCCTTGAATTTTTGGTTTACGACAAATGCATAATTTTAAATATCTCTTATGAGTCCCCCTGCATGGCTTTTCCCTAAACTAAACAGCATTAAGCATTGTTATCTGTCCTCATTGTTGTTCGAGATCTTGGTCATTTTGATTGCCCTTTTCTGCACATTTTCAATGTCCACAAAATTATTTTAACTGCAGTGACCAGAACTCTACATAATAATCCAGTTCTGGTTGCACCATAGACTTCTACAAGGGTAATGTGATGTTGGCAGTGTTATTTCTGATTCCTTTTGACATCAGCTTTAACACTTCAACAAGAAAAAAACCACATATGGGGGCTTTTGGAAAAGTCTGAAAGCTCAACAAGTAGTTTGATGTTATAGTTATATTTGGCTTCATGACATTCCCGGCAGATTTGGGTACTTGATGAATTATGCCTGGTGACTGAATTGCACAGTCTTTCATCTTGTTTTCAATGCCTGGTCCCAAGCAATGACTGAATCAAGGGTGGGGATGAATTTTGCAAGTGACAACAGCCTTTTCCAGGGATGAGAGTCACAATACTTTTTCATTGCAACTGCCGAAAGGCATAGCCAAGTTAAGCACATCAGTGCTGATCAACCTCTTGCACATCATATTGATAATACCTACTGTCTGATGGACACGTGCTTCTTTCATAATGACACCTAAACAAACCAATAATGCTTATTCTGATAACAGATCATTTTTTCTTATGTTTGTGGATGGGTTTTAAGGAGTGCTTGTAATAAGTTCCTCCCTATAACGTAAGACTGTGTCACATATGTGGCGATGGTATACATAATCAAGTGCCAAAGTTTTAGAAGTTTAATGTCAGTGAAAGACAAAACCATCAGCTGCAGAGACTTCTAAAGAAATAAGCTAAGAAAGCTAGCATAACGGACTATGAAGGTTACATAATAGACAATTAGAATGTGAAAACCTAATCCTCTTTGTTCAAAGTTCTTTCATTCCCCCACTTCTCAGTGCACCAACTATTACCACTTCCTGGTATTTGCCTTCAAGGTGGATGTCTTCAGGGACATTCATTCTCATAACWTCAAATTCTTGTGAACACATGAAAGAAATATCCTGGAATACATTAAGCACTTTGAGGTAACACGTTACTTGTAATTAACCCCCCCCCCCCCACACACACACACACATTTGAATGTAACACCAGATTGTTATATAAGTTACCAACTGATATAAAAATAGGAAAAATCAATTTTAATTCTTTTTAAAACATGCTTCTGACTTAAGATTTAGGCTGTAAAGTTATAGATAGCATGCATTCATTTGTGAATACTCATTGACATTGACCTCTGAGTAAATGTGCGTAGGATTGGCATGTGAAGCACCTGTCTTTAAAAGGAAATAGTAACATTCAAATTGGTGGTAATTAGTTGAATTCAGAGGGGTGAAACAGGACAGAGGTGGCAACCTGAAAGACCTGAAATGGCTGCCACTGGGTTAGAGACAAAAAAAACTCATTAACGGGAGCTACTTTTCACTCTTGTTGAAGGCATACCACAAGAATAAAAAAGCACAAGTGGGAAATGTGTGACCCTCAAATGTTTAGATTATAAGTCTCAGCAGTCCTACTTAATAGAGTCAATGGAGGCTGGAGTCCAACCAGGAGGACTGCAAAACTACTGCCATACAGCAGACATTATCTCCTCAAGAGTCCATCCAGTTCATTGTTCTTCAGTTGACAAGATTTATTTTCTCTGCTATGTTGTTATCACAACTCTTACCACTGGGTTCAAAGTGGCTTGGTGCCAGCACAGTAAGCTCTTCTCTAGAAATGATGTTTTGTTCCAAAGCCACTTTTTCCTTTGGAACACGTTTTCTTCTGAAGTACAACATGAGGAAGACACCCACCAAGATAAGGAACAGGACTGGAGGGTAGAATAAAAGGAAGCGGTACAGAGATCGAGGAGAACAAATCTGGGAAGAATTGGTTGGTGCTGCAAAAAAACAAAACAAAAAAAGAAAAGAAAACAAAGAAAAGACATTTATGGCAACCAAATCTTCTCATAGAGTTAGCATGTAAATACAGTAAGAGTTAATTAACACCAGAAACTCATGATTGCATTCTGATGACCCCTCTCAATGCAATGCACACTAAATGCAAAATGTGCAGTTGAGAAAAGGCATGAATTTCACCACTTTGAAAAGCACATGATGATGATGATGATGATGATGATGATGATGATGATGATAATTGTATATTATTATTTTACTGACACAAAAACACAGTATGTCACAGCAAACGAGATCTATATGCTGGATTTTGTATCACAAAATCATAAGTCGAACACTTTCCAAGTGTCTAGGACTGTGTGATGTATTTTCAAATGATGTGCTCAGATCGTGATTTTGTCCATGTTTATTGTTTCCAATTGTTGGCTGAGATCTTTTGGCATGGCACCCAGTGTGCCGGCTACCACTGGAACCACCTGGACTGGTTCATGCCAGAGCCTTTGTCAGACCCCCGATGGGTGTCACCTTGTCATGGTGGGGGGCTTAACTGCTCCAAGGATGCTGAGAGCTGTGCTGGCAGTAGTATAACTACCAGCAGGTCCAACCAAGCCAGAGAGGTCTCAGCTGAGGAGTGGAACCAAGAGCACCTAACCCATTAGCACTATGGAGAAGCAAACCAAAATGAAGTCTATACAGGCTTGGTTGACGCCCAGGATAAAAAGGACCACGGTGAATGCTGCTGATTCTGTACATCCATCGACAAGAGGGCCAAAGAATCAAAATACAAATGTATATTATTAATTATTATTATTATTATTATTATTATTATTATTATTATTATCTTCATCATCATCATCTTTATTTCTATCCCACTTTATCTTTCCCAAAGCGGACTCCAAGCCGCTATTACTTAGGCGATCCCTCGTTGGACGAGTAAGATGGTCTTCCATTATGCATTTCCTTGTGGGTTCGTAGGTGGCTGTGGAGCCCTATTCTTGACCCGCATCTTCTCCCACAGTGAGGGCATTGGTTTCCAGGTGGAAGGCGGTCGGTGTTGGCTTGACACGCCTTCCTCCTGGCACGTTTCTCTCTTTCACCCTCCACTCGTGCCTCCTCAAATTCTGCAGCACTGCTGGTCACAGCTGACCTCCAGCTGGAGCGCTCAAGGGCCAGGGCTTCCCAGTTCTCAGTGTCTATGCCAGAGATTTTAAGGTTGGCTTTGAGGCCATCTTTAAATCTCTTTTCCTGTCCACCAACGTTCTGTTTTCCATTCTTAAGTTCAGAGTAGAGCAACTGCTTTGGGAGACGGTGGTCAGGCATCGGACAACGTGGCCGGCCCAGCGGAGTTGATGGCAGAGGACCATCGCTTCAATGCTGGTGGTCTTTGCTTCTTCCAGCACGCTGACGTTTGTCCGCTTGTCTTCCCAAGGGATTTGCAGGATTTTCCGGAGGCAGCGCTGATGGAGCAGGATTTTCTGGAGGCAGCGCTGATATCGAAGCCGCTATACTGAGTATATGATTGGGTTTGATCCATAGGTGGACTTGTTACAATGTAAGCTTGGCTCTAACAGATATTTCACCAAAATATTCATCTAAAATGATTACCAGGTGATTGGTGCCTCTCAATGCCTAGCTTGAATATTCACCAGTAGTTCCTTGCTCCATCTTATATTCCACCAGGTCCACTTTCACCCCCAATAAGTAGCATGCAGAGAAGGAGGATTATTTCATGGAGAAGCCAAGAATATATAGCTGCATATCAAGTAACCTCAATTTAAACTAGACCTACTGTACAGAACTCATTGTGGGCAAAGGTTTTTAGATGTGCATTTTGACTCGACATTGTCAGGGTCACTTTTAAATCAAGTATAAATTTGGATGGTTCCCCACCAAAGGCAATAAACCTAGAAGAATAGGGTGAATACTACCCGAAAGAAGCATAACAAGGTTGCTGTATCCTGACTGACCTGATTCATGCTGGATGGGAACAGTGCTGCTGTTGGGTGCCCGCCATTCTTCCACTTGGCAAAAGAGCAACCCAGCATCCGCCATCTCCACATCCTGCAGTTTCAGGCAAAAGTTGCCAACTGAATGGCTGTAAGGTTGCAATCTCCTTGCCATATTCATGTTACCATTCCAAACACTACCATTGCTCTTATTTTCCCCCAGAGTTGCAACAGTAAAGTATTCTGACATTTTAAACCAGCTGACCAGGAAGTGGGAGGTGGGTTGTATTGGGCTCTGCAGAATACATTTCAGGGTCTCTTCCTCATTTTCATTGGTGGTAATGCTGTGGTTTGTTCTTTCAATGTGTGGTTTAGTTTCTGGTGGTAGACAAGAAAAGAGGTTATAGGGAATAATATGTCACAACTGAAAGACTTCTCACTCCATTAAAGTTATTTGTCAGGTGTCTTCGAGATATTATCTATGGCACCCCATACTATTGACAGGATCACTGATATGGCAATTGTTCCTGTTTGCATGTTATTTTAAGGAAGTCATTGCCTAAAAAACTAACTTCCTTCCAGTGGTCTAGACAAACACAGTGAGAAAACTTTAAGTTCCTGTTTGAAATAGCCTGGGGCTTAAAAACTGCTACTCTGAAAAAGAAGTTAGGCCATTAGTTCGTTTGTATGGGAGGTTCCAGAATTATATATCTTGAACAATATTTCTGCTTTCTTAATTTAATAGTATATATTTCCCTCTTCTTTCTTTTTTATTATTTTTAGAAGGCTGCTACATCTGTGAAATGGCTCTTCTGCATTGCAACAATGCAACTCTTTAAAAAATTGAAAAAAAAAGGCAGGAGTAGAAAATGTGCCTTTTAAACCATAGATCGTCTCAGGGTGCTTCCAGAAGGAGTGGAACCCATGCCAAAGTGGTTCCCACAAGCCAGGCTTTCCTGGGGAAGGTGGCTACATGACATCCTGATTACTCTTGGGATGGCATGCAGCCACCACGAAGCCTCCAAAAAGAACCCCTAAAAAGTCGTCGTCCCCCCGGTCTCCTGGCTCTTCATTTCTTGATGCCAGGAGGGTGAGAGGAAGACCATAATGGCGGCTGAATACGTTTTAAAAAAAAATTAGGGGTACATGGGGGGCTGGGGGGAGGTGGTGGGTGCCATCCCGGACCTTTGGGCTCCATTAGCCCAAAAGGTTTGGGATGGCAAATGAGGAATCATCCCAAGTAGTCCAGGACTACCCAGAAGTGAGTCCCCACAGTCCCAATTCCCCATTAGACCTGGGCCTTTCAGGAAGGCCCGGATCTAATGGGATATTTAATTAAGTTGGAATAACATCAGGTTTAACCCACTGAGCTGCTGAACTTGCTGACCAAAAAGCTGGCAGTTTGAATCCAGGGAGTGGGGTGAGCTCATGCTATAAGGCCCAGCTTCTGCCAACCTAGCAGTTAGAAAGCATGCAAGTGTGAGTAGAATAGGTACCACTTCTGCGGGAAGGTAATGGTGCTCCATGCAGTCAAGCTGGCCACATAACTTTGGAGGTGTTCAAGGACAACACCAGCTCTTTGGCTTAGAAATAGAGATGACCACCATCCCCCAGAGTTGGACACAACTAGACTTAATATCAGGGGAAACCTTTACTTTTACTTAATGTCAGTTATTCCAAATTAATTCGTTTTTACTGGGAGCATTGTTTGGACTCCCCTGATAAAAACCCAGACAAGGTCCTGTGTTTTGGGCCCATTTGGATGGGTCCTCAGGAAACTGGTTTAAAAGGAGAGACCAGTTTGTCTTTGACCCAGTTTATACTGCAGTTTGAAAGTAGATCTACTTGCAAATGGGATCCCAAGTTACTGGTTGCCTCTTATCTGAATACAAGGCATCTACATTATTGATAGGAAATTGATATGAGAGCCAGGATGGTGTAGTCATTTAAGTGTTGGACAATGACTCTAGAGACCAACACTTAAACCACTATATCACTCAGCTGTAGCAAACCCACTAGGTATCCCATATTCTCAGCTCCAGAAAGTCTTGTGATAAGTTTGCCATAAAGCAACAACCAACAATAGATTGATAGATTACACACACTCACACAGACACCTTTCGTTTTGGGCAAAAACTCCAGGGCAGTTGTGAAAACATACCAAATTTGTTTAGTTAATCATATATGCTATACACACAAAAGAACAGGAAACACCATTTTGATTAAATGTATTCTTCTCCAAAGTAATTACTAATACTGCTTCAAGAAAGGCAATGATTTATTAGAATATTCCCGGCATTGTTTTCTAAAATTACTTTTTAAAAAGCCCTCCTAGTTTAAAACTATTTAGAACTATTTATTGCTATCCAGCTAAGTTGACTGTAAATACCATGCTGAAAAGACCTCCACTATGAAATATGCCCTGCAAATTCATTTTAAAATTAGCATGGCTGGAACCACACCCTTCATTAGCCTTTGATTATTTATTTATTTACAGTATTTATATTCCACACTTCTCACCCCGCAGGGGTCTCAGGGCAGATTACAATGTACATATACAGGCAAACATACAATGCCATAGACACACAACACATACAGACAGACAGTCAGAGCCTATTTAACATTCCAACTTTTTCTGGCCACCAGGGGAGCTGTTGCTTCACCATCCATCTGTGACACTGATGAAGTACTTTGTCATTCCCCGCATGCTTGCTGGAGATTTTTTATGGTACCTTAAAATGAATTTGCAGGGCATATTAGCGTCCCCACATAAATTAGCGTCCCCACATAAGTGGTACCTAATTTTCCTACTTGACAGATGCAACTGTCTTTCGGGCTGCAAAGGTCAACAACAAGCTACACAAATTGGCTCACTCTGACCCGGGCTGGCTTTGAACTCATGACCTTTCGGTCAGTAGTGGTCTCAATGCAGCTGACTCCCAGCCAGCTGTGCCACAGTCCCGGTGTTCTCAAAATTCAGCTTAACGGATAATAGTTAATAGACCAATGCTAAAACTGCAACAAAAGACTGAGGAAGAGCCACATTCCCCTAACTGGAGTGCAACTGTCCAGAAACAACAATATCCTTCTCCAGAATACCAAAAAATGTTGTAATGGAGGCAGCCAATTCTATCTCCTCTACCGTTCCAGCTTTTTATTTTTTTCAAGCAAATACTTCTGGTTGCCACTAACCAAGTTCAACTCTCACTGTAACTAGAATAAGTAGTTTCGTTTTATTTTTATTTTCTCCAAATATACAGGGGAGTTGTCTGAAAATCTGGGTTGCCTATGAGCATACTCATGCTTCTGAATGGACTCATTTTGTATAAATTCCTACAAGCATGGGGACATTGATTTTTTTCCCAAGAGATAGATGGCCAATAACATTGCACAGCAAACAAGTTGGCACTTCTTTTATCTCTTGAGCTGCAAATGAACAAACTGACATCTAAGGAATCAACTATGCATTATGCAAGTCTTCTATGTATAGAGTCTGTAAAGTTATTTTTAAGAAAAATGAATGTAACAACATGCTGAAGATATCTGCTATTGAGCAGTGTAGGATGATGTTCTGGGACTCCCAAGTGGTACAAAACCTCAAACACACTTGCTGGGAAGGTTTCATTTGAATAGAATAATGATATTGTGATGCTTGTGTTATATAATGTGTTTGTCCTGTTTATCCATCATTCATGTCCAAAGCATGAAATGTCAGCCCCATTTACACTGGCATATACAATCCAGATTATCTGCTTTGAACTGGGTTATATGGCAGTGCAGACTCATATAATCCAGTTCAAAGCATATGGATCATCTGTTTTGATAATCTGGATTATACAGCAGTGTAGATCCAGCTTTAGACATCTGAAACGTGGCACCCAAATAAATGGATCGTAGCAGCCCACAATTTAAATGTCTCTTTTTAAAAGCCTGCAATACCATCCTTAGTCATTAGACAGCAGTTTCCCTAACCCGTACATAATCTTGCAACATGCATACATATAATGTAATATCTATTTATGGGGCTGGTCTTAGCAAAGCAAGCTAAACCATTGTTGTTACTCTTGAGCTGTGCTGCAGAAAGTTACCAGTTCAAGCCTGGGTGAGGTGAGCACCCACCATCAGCCCCAGCTCACCTGCAAACCTAGCAGATCAAAAGCAAAAATGTGAGTAGATAAAATAGATACTGCTTTTAGCGGGGAGGTAATAAAAGGCACCCCTAAAAGGACATCAATTGGAGGAAAGCTCCTTGGCATGGAAGATAGAGCAACAGAACCCCCTGTGGCCGGAGTTGAGCACAGGCTCCTAGATGCTGGAAATAAGGTGGAGAAAATTGACTTTTGAAAATTGAGAAGGGTGGAGTATAAATATAATACTGTAAATAAATAAATATAAGTGAAATTATGTATGTATGTTTGCATGCATGTATGTTCCAGGAAGGCTCCTACATGGTGTGATAAATCGAGCAAGGTTTGAACTTTGGAAAAGAAATCACCCCATTTGGGGAAAGGGCCCCCGAATATGTATGTATGTATGCATGTAGCACCATATTTCAGATGTACCCAGTGCTAGACTTAATGTGACTCAGCAGGCGGTTCTCTCTTCCTCAAATCTCTCTTCCAAAGAAGAAAACTCCACCATACAGCATATTCCTTTCTCTCTAACACTCTTACTATCAGGAAAAGGTGTATCACTAACATCTATGTTATTTCCAATTAGTTGCTGCTTATTATTAATCCGGGGAGCGGTGTGAGCTTCCACTATCAGCCCCAGCTTCTGTCAGCCTAGCAGTTCGAAAACATGCAAATGTGAGTAGATCAAGAGGTACTGCTCCGGCAGGAAGGTAACAGCACTACTTGCAGTCATGCTAGCCACATGACTTGGAGGTGTCTACGGACAACGCTGGCTCTTCGACTTAGAAATGAAGAAGAGCACCAACCCCCAGAGTCAGATACGACTGGACTTAATGTCAGGGGAAAACCTTTACCTTTACTTTTACTATTAATTAGAGAGATGCTGTTGTTTGAAAGAGGTATTTTGAAGCAGAAAACAGTGCAAGAGGAAAGATGTGTCTTCACAAATTCCTCTAATTAATTTCCCTCTACCCTAGTCTCAGTCAGCCTGTCTCTTTTCTCACCCTTGCAAAGTTTAGTAAAGAGAGTAGGCCTGGTGAAGAGACAACCAAAGGGTGACATGATTGCTCTCTTTAAAGATCAAAAGGGCTGTCACAGAGAGGAGGGCGCAGGTTTGTTCTCTGCTGCCCCAGAGGGAAGGATCAGTTCTCGCGGTTTTAAGTTACAGGAAAGTAGCTTTCAATTGAACATGAGTAGGAACTTGGCAGTAAGTGCGGTTTGACAATGGAACCAATTACCTAGATATGTGAAGGAGTCTCTTTGTCTGAATGTCTTCAAAAAAAAAAAAAAAAAAGGCTACACAGCTACATGCTCTAGCTGGATTTCCTGAATTTAATGGGGAGTTGGCCTCATGGCCCAGGAGCCCACTTCCAACTCTATAATTCTAATTTTGTTTGATTTGGGACTCATCTAGACTGGCCAAATGTGCCAGCAGAAGTGGCATTGCATCCTATTTATTTATTTAGGTCCTACGTTTCTCCCAACATAGGCTTTCTGTTGGCTAGAGTAAACCTACTGAACTGTTGAATGGTAAGCAACACATAGGTAAATACTATTGATAGATTGGTTCTACTCAGTCAAGAGTAACAACAATGATTGCCAAATGCAACTGTTAAATTTTAAAAGGTAATTGTACAATTAGGCCCCCTGGTGGGACAGTGGGTTAAACTGCTGAGTTGCTGAACTTGCTGACTGGAAGATTGGCAGTTTGAATACGGGGAGTGGGGTGAGCTCCCAATGTTAGGCCCAGCTTCTGCCAACCTAGCAGATTGAAAACATGCAAATGTTAGTAGATTAATAGGTACCGCTTTGGCAGGAAGGTAATGGTGCTCCATGCAGACATGCTGGTCACATGACCTTGGAGGTGTCTATAGACAATGCCAGCTCTTCAGCTTAGAAATGGAGATGAGCACCCCACCCCCCAAAGTTAGACACTTTTACTTTTACCTAATTGTAAAGGTAATTAATTACTGTGGCATGTGGCCTCACTAAATATTATGCGGTCCAAGCACATGTTCATGTTTGTCTTCATGCACTGATGTAGGTGCAACACCTATTAAAATATTATTTTAAAGACATTAATCTAAAACAATAAACACACATAAAACATGCATTAAAAACATCATCTCCATTGCACATGAAAAAAAAAGTTATTTCTTTGCCCAGATTTGCATTTTTAATTTGATTGTAGTCAGGGGCATTTTTATGGCTGATGTAACTCCATGATCTCCATTTCTGTATATACTTTGCATTTAGACATGACTTAGGCATTATGCATGTTAAAAGTGGACTATGGAATGACTTAATGACATAAAAATAATAATTTGCTTACCTGGAAGCTTGAAATACACTGTGGTATGACCAGATTCCATTTTCCTGAGGCTATGCCAGCCAGCATCTACTACCCAGATCCATTCATTTACTTCACAATAATATTTACCCTGGACTTCATTATCTGCTGACAGAATGAGCAGTTGATACAAATGACTGGAAACCTTTTTGCTATGAAATCTGGATTTCTGATGAGGAAAATTGAATGCTTCCCCATATTCCGATATGTGATCGTAATTGGTCCTTAAAATCATCAGTGGAGCTGCATTCTTGGGATACAATGGCAGAAAATACCAAGTAATTTCTAGTGTAGAATTCTTCTTTGTCAATGATATGATTTTGCAATCAATTGTTATATCTTCATTGCTAAAGATGTCCAGAGATTTTTCACTGATGTCGGTGATTAACTTGCTTTCTAGATTAAGAAGCAAAGAGAAAAATGAATAGCTAATATTCTTGGTGCCATTATTAACACAGGCAGGGGGAAATGTGTGGAACCAAAAGAAGAACGTCATTTTTGAAGTGCATATATTCATGAAATAAAAAGAGGAGCGCATTTTGGAAATGTCTGTTATTCCTTCCTTGGGCAAAATACTGATAAAGTGGTTGTACACTCTGAAAAAGCACTATAAGTACTTGATAATGAAAATATTAGGGTGTCATGATGTTGAGAGATTATTACTGGAGAGAAAGGCCTGTCAGAGTATTTTGTCCAGTAACAAGTGAAGGTGCCCATTCTGGGCACCACTGGGGGCTCTCTATGTACATATGTGCATGTGAATCTATTTTACCATCTTGTGATTTGAATTATGATTTGAGTAGGTAAGCTAATGTACATCACCAGACAAAATATTTCATGCAAACCACACTGAAGAGAGCTAGTTTTGAAGTAGGCTATGTATGCTCACACTTCTATCAGTATTTTCAGAGGCAGCAGGAAAAACTGTTTAATATCTTTTATCCTGAAATCTTTTAAGTATAGATAGATACCAGCTGATTCAGGACAACCCTGTGAATTTCATGGGGCTTTCTAGAGCAGCGTTTCTCAACCTGGGGGTCGGAGCCCCGGGGGGAGGGGGGGTCATGAGGGAGTGTCAGAGGGGTTGCCAAAGACCATCAGAAAACACAGTATTTTCTGTTGGTCATGGGGGTTCTGTGTGAGAAGTTTGGCCCACTTCTATTATTGGTGGGGTTCAGGATGTTCTTTGATTGTAGATGAACTATAAATCCCAGCAACTACAACTCCCAAATGTCAAGGTCTATTTTCCCCAAACTCCACCAACGTTCACATTTTGGCATATTGATTATTTGTGCCAAGTCCAGATCCACCATTATTTCAGTCCACAGTACTCTCTGGATGTAGGTGAACTACAACTCCAGAAGTCCACCAAACTCTACCAATATTTTCTGTTGGTCATGGGATTTCTGTGTGCCAAGGTTGGTACAATTCCATCGTTGGTGGAGTTCAGAATGCTCCTTGACTGTAGGTTAATTATAAGGGACAGCAATTACAACTCCCAAATGACAAAATCAATTCCCCTCCAACCCTACCAGTATTCAAATTTGGGCATATCAGGTATTTGTGCCAAATTTGGTCCAGTGAATGAAAATACATCATGCATATCAGATATTTATATTATGCAAAATAACAGTTATGAAGTAACAATGAAAATAATTTTATGGTTGGAGGTCACCACAACATGAGGAGCTGTATTAAGGGGTCGCAGCGTTATGACAGTTGAGAAACACTGCTCTAGAGCAAGAAATACTCAGAGATGATTCGCCATTGGCTTGATCTGAATACATGCCTCTGACAAGTTGTAGATCTATAAGTCTGTTCACCAAAATGGAGATTGTAAGAAAAGTGGAGGTTATAAAGTGAAGATACCTTAAAGGTTCAAAATATTTATTATTTACAATATTTATACCCTGCCTTTCTCACCCTGGAGGGGACTCAATATGCAGAGGCTTTTTGTCTAGTTTATTTTGATTATGCAAAGTTGGCCTAAACCTACATTCCCTAAAGGTATCGGATCTTATCTGATGTTGGAAGCTATGAAGGGTCTTTCCTGGTTAATAACTGGGTGGAAGACCACTAGCAAATAAGAGATTCTATATGTTATTTTGCAGAGGCAGAAACCGGCAAACCATCTTTGAGTACCCCTTGCCTAAGAAAATCCTATGAAATTAATGGGTTTGCCTTTAGTTGACAAGCAATTTGAAGATTTGTGCATGCACACACAGAGCTAACCTCAACTATTACATTTCATATGTGTGTGTTGTTAGCTTTGAATAAAAAGTCTGCTGAAATATGTTGAATTATTCTTCTTTTTTGTGTTGCACTTGTCTAGCCCAATTAATTCTATGTCATTCTGCTTTCCTAGACTGAATTTTCTGTTAAAGAGGTAATCCCAAGAACATATCTATTTCCTTAACTGAATTATACTTGTATAGCCTACAGCACCTGGAACTTGACAGTTCCCTTTTCAAATACTAATCAGACCTTACTCTGCTTCACTTTAGCAGTAAAAGTATAACAACCTCAAATCACAAAGTTACATGTAAATAAACTGTTACTCCTGCCAAACATACTCAAAGCAAAGCTAGTAATTTGCTACGTTAAGATACAAAACCATCAGTTGTCTACATATACAAAGCCTTATGGAAAACAAAATTATAATTTAAGGTGCCCCAAGACTTTGTGCCCCCGCAGTGAATCAGCTAAGCTTTGTGATAGAATGAAAAGGAAGAAGCCCCAAGATCTGAAATTAGGACCTTACCTCATGAGGGAGGGAGAGCATCACATTACCATGGTGTTATGCCCATTGGGTTAGAAAGTAAATCATATCGTTTCTCAGTTCTCATCCCACATTGTTGTTTCTTACCTTTTCTTCTGAAATTATCATTTTTCAGATTTATTGATTGCTAACTCTAGTTTAAAACAGGGGTGAGGGAGAGAAAAGGCAGGAAAAGTACAACTTTGAAAGGTCAGAATCAAGCAAAAACAAAATATTGATCTCTTGAAATACATGGCTGGATTATGGGAGATTACTAGGGCATCACTGCTTTGTAGGACATCACCCACATGAACACCCATTTCCCATTTCACCAAATGGATTCAATGTGGGTGAATCTGACAGATCCCATCTCATGTGTTTTTCATCTTTTTTTTAAGCTTTGAAGCTTCTCTGTCCCTCCCCCTCCCCCACCCCATTACTTTATACTTTTAAAACAGTTCCCTAAAGAAGCATCATGAACAACAGAGGGAAGTTTCCCTGCGTCATATGATGGGCTCCATTGTACTAATGGTTCCCTTTACAGTTCTGTTGGAGGGTTGAGGAGACATTGCCAAAAACATTAAAAAGGAGGGTGGAATTTGGCTATTGGCCTTTTCAATAGATGACAATGGGAAATTTCTGGTTTTCATGTAGTGTTCTTTTCCCAATATGCCTCAGTTCCAGGCTGTTACAAGGATTGTATTTTCCCATATGAGGATACCTAGGCTCTACAATCTTCAGGAGGTCTTAGAGCCCAGATAGCCTCATATGGATAGTGCTGACTTTTCTTTAGTAAATACCAAGATACAATCTGAATGGTTTATTTCTGTTTCTATCTGGTGTTCTGCAAGTTTACAGAAGAGATTCAGAAAACAACTGCAATGATATATCCGCTTGGAGAACTTTTTTCATTTTCTCTGCCATGACTCTTATTAGACTCATAGAATTATAGAGTTGGATGAGACCTTGTAGACCATCCAGTCCAATCCCCTGCCAAGAAGCAGGAAAATGACATTCAAAGAACCCCCAACAGATGGCCATCCAGCCTCTGTTTAGAAACCTCCAAAGAAGAAGCCTCCACCACACTCCGGGGAAGAGAGTTCTACTGCTGAACAGCTCTCACAGTCAGGAAGTTCTTCCTAATGGAATCTCCTTTCCTGTAGATTGAAGCCATTGTTCCGCATCCTAATCTCGAGGGCAGCAGAAAGCAAGCCTGCTCCCTCTGCCCAATGACTTCCCCTCACATATTTATACATGGTTATCATGTCTTCTCTCAGCCTTCTCTTTTGCAGGCTAAACATGCCCAGCTCTTTAAGCCGCTCCATGGGGCTTGTTCTCCAGACTCTTGTTCATTTTAGTTGCCCTCTTTTGGACACATTCCAGCTTGTCGACATCTCCCTTCAATTATGGTGCCCAGAATTGGACACAGTATTCCAGATGTGGTTTGACCAAGGCAGAATAGAGGGGCAGCATGACTTCCCTGGATCTAGACACTATACTCCTATTGATGCAGGTGAAAACCCAATTGGTTTTTTTTGCTGCCGCCAAATCAGACATCCCATCATAGTTGCGGTTTTCATTCTGACGGATTATATTACTCACAGATTTGATTTAAAATGCTTTCTATAGGCACCTCCACTATGAAACTCTAGTCAACCCACTCCATTCATTCTGGAAGGCATGGAGGGAGAGCACCTTTCTAGCAATCTCTAGTCTTCCAATGTGATTTTATGGTCAGCTTCCAGTGAAAGATGACCATAGAGTCATTCTGAAAGACATAGAAATTCCTAAAGAGATAATCTCTTGGGTTAAAAAAATAGCAATTCCTTTATTTGCAGTTTTTCACTTTCATGGGGGTACTGTGCTCCTATCCCCAGTGAATGTGAAGGGCTGGTGGTACTTGATTTCCATCGGGAAATGTCCATTATAAAAGCAGCAACAGTCTTCCCAAAGCTAATCTCACTAAATAAGCCAATGTTATTGCTTTTAAGTTTTCTGTCACCCATGGTGGCCTTGCTAAAGAGAGATGACATGAAAGGAGAAATCAAACCCCACTTCAATTTAATTAACTGAACACAATCTCCAAGTTGCCTCTCTTGCTTTGAACCAGGCTGCTGACAGTGCAGTCTCTTCTCTCGGTGGCAGCAATTGAAGTATGCAAAAGAACCCAGCAGCTGCTTCAAATTATATCCGCAGACTGCCAATGTGCATCTCTGCAAAAACCATTGTCTAACCACCATGGGTGAAAACCTTCCAGTATAAGTCATTTCAAAAATACCCAGAACACTTCCTCCTTTGCAGAGCATTGGTCAGATACTTTGCAAACTGCTTTCAGTTTTTTCCATTGAGTTTGGTTATTGCATATTCTTGGCAAGCAAGTTTTCTAAAGAAAATTGAGGTGGAAATAATGCATTTGTTTTATTTCTATCTGTTTTGCCATAATTGTTGCAGGTTTACATTGGGATCAAATAACCATAATACTGTCTAAAGATAACAGCTTATTTTTTCAGATTAATCTAAGGGTCCTAATGCACTTGCAGTGCTTCCTGTATTTGAGGCAGGAGGTATGTGAATTGTAGCTTAACATCTGAGACAGCAAATGTAGTATGACTTTTAAAGCTAGGCCATTGATGCAGCTTGCATAGCTTTCCTTCTTTTGGACTATAATCCCAAGAATCTAATAGCCAGCATGGGGATTCTGAGAGCTGTAATCCAAAAAGGCACATTTTCCCCAAGCTTTCTAATCTAGAGTCTATGCTATGCAAAAACTGTGGGAAATAGCAACCTTCTGCAAGCCTCCTATACTAGTTATTTCTCATGTATATAATGCAGGCTGCATTGTAAAACATGATATTTTGGTGCTTAATTTGTAAAATCATAAAGTAATTTGATGTTTAATAGGCTTTTCCTTATTATTCCCTCCTTATTATCCAACATTTTTGCTTATCCAACATTCTGCTGGCCCAATTATGTTGGATAAGCGAGACTCTACTGTATTAGTCCCTCTTCCCTGGACACATTCCTGGATGTCAATATCATTAAATTACTAGCTGTCCCCAGGGCCGTAGCCAGAAATTTTTTTGGGAGGGGTTGAAAATTTCATGGGGGGGGGGTTGAAAATTCTGTGGGGTGTGTGTGTTGAAACCTGCCTCCTAGCTCACGCTGAAGCAAAGAGCATAGCAGGGGGCAGAGCAGCCTTCAATAGCCTGCAGCTCCGTCCCTTTCAACCACCTCCACCAAGTCTGGCCTCCTTAATGAGAGCATTCAACACACACACCCCCAACTTGGTTGCTTCACTACATCGGCTATTGCTGCAAGTAAATGACAGTGTGAATAAATTGTCAACGTTTGCTTGAGATAGTGCTTACAGTTCTGGAGGGACTCTTAATTTTTTGCATCTCATAGACTTAGCATGGGAATTTGGTTAACCAGTTAAAATTCATGAATAAACCAGGTTTTTTAAAAAAAATCTGAAACATTTCAGGGGGGGTTGAACCCCTTAATCCCCCCCCCTCGCTACAGGCCTGGCCGTTCCCTGTCACGCGTTGCTATGGCCCTGTCTGGTGATCTGGAAAATAATATGTGTAATTTTTTATACTTGTGGGTAAACAGTATTTCTTGCTGTTTCTTTGTCAGTGTTGATGTGAAGATTGTCTGGTTTGCCTACTCTGGAACATGCACAACATATAATTGTCCTCCCTTTCAAAACTATGATACTATATTTGTGTGTATGTGAATCATAGATTCATGTCTATCTATATCTATGGCTGGATGGCTCTTTGTCAGGAGGGCTTTGATTGTGTTTTCTTGCCCTGGTGAGGGGAGTTGGACTGGATGTCCTTAAGTATTTTCTTTTAGTCATGGGAGTTCTGTGTGGGAAGTTTGCTCCAATTCTGTCATTAGTGGGGTTCAGAATGTTCTTTGATTGTAGGTGAACTATAAATCCCAGTAACGACAACTCCCAAATGTCAAGGTCTTTCCCCCCCCAAACTCCATCTGTGTTCATATTTGGGCATATGGAATATTCATGCCAAGTTTGATCCAGATCCATCATTGTTTGAATCGACAGTGCTCTCTGGATGTAGGTGAACTACAACTCCCAAATTCAAGGTCAATGCCCATCAAACCCTTCTAGTGTTTTCTGTTGGTCATGGGAGTCCTGTGTGCCACGTTTGATCCAATTCCATCATTGGTGGTGTTCAGAATGCTCTTTGATTGTAGGTTAACTATAAATGCCAGCAATTACAACTCCCAAATGACAAAATCGTGGGGTTACTAGGTGTCTTGTGGCCAAATTTGGTGTCAATTTGTGCAGTGGTTTTTGAGTGATGTTAATCCCAGAAACAAACATTACATTTTTATTTATATAGATGATGCCCAGAACTGGATTCATTATTCCAGGTGAGGCCTGACCAAAGCAGAATAGTGTGGTACTATGGTACTATTACTTACTCAGTCTTGATACTATACTCTACCATGAGGGAGGAAAGAGACAAGGGAAGACAGGGCAAGGCATGGGATATATCTACCACAGAAAAAGATAGGCAGCAAAGGACCCATGGTGAGAATGTGTAACATATGTGTGATGTTTATTTTCTTGTATGAGCTTTCTAGATACTGTGCTGGAGTTTGTAGATAGCCTTTTTGGCCCTCCTCTAATGTAATTATTCTACTCTGCCTGTCTATGCAAAGTACTAGGGGATCATTGGGGTTCCATGAGCCCTGTAGAATATGTGGCTTGTTAAACTGGAGGAGAAAACAGTGACAGCCTTTCAAAAAACATTCATATCTCAGTTATGCTTCCTAACAACAGGTCTTTTGATCTAAAGTTTGGTAGCTGATTTTCTACGTTACTGCTGTAAGTTTAGTTTTCATCCCCTCATTCCCAGATGCATTATTTATACCTATCTATCTCTTAAAATTCTTCAGATGTCTACAGGATTATATATGAAATTATACATGAAATGTTCAACCGAGGACTGCATCTCGCCATGCTGTCTTTTGGATTTTAGCAACAAATAGTCTACAAGCCTCTATTTGGAGCACTTTGAATGGCATTCAAAGCAGGGATTTTGATTTATAAAGTCTCAAATGGCAAGGAGTAGGGCCCAGGTACTGTCTGATCTTGAAAACTAAGCAGGGCCAGCCCTGGTTAACATTTGGATGGGAGAGTGCCAATGAATACCAGGTGCTGTGGGTTGTATGTTAGCAGGAACTGGTAAAGCCACTTCTGAGTATTCCTTGCCTAAGAAAACCTTATGAAAAATCCATGGGGTCATTTAAAATAGACAAGTAATTTGAAAGCACATTCATACAGGAAGGAACCATCTGAATATGATTTTTAAAATGAACACAATGTTATATGTGAAAGTCCTCTTCTGTGATAATTTTGATTTACAGATCCATTGCTTAAACTTCTGTGGTAGATCTTCACTGATTACATCTCAACAAATGCATATATAGATCACAATTATGCAGTCTCATAGGCACTATAAAGCTGCATAAATTACATTCTCTGGATGCTTCCAGGTTAGTTAATTGTGGAAATTCTCTGCTTTATTCATTTTTAAAGGAAATTTTTGAAAGGGAAAATAGATGACGCCTTTCTTTTGTAACCTTCTCAAGTTGTCTCAGAGCAGCTTACTTTTTTTTCCCATACTCAGGCAATCATATAATCATAGAGTTGGAAGAGACCCCATGGGCCATCCAGTCCAACCCTCTGCCAAGAAGCAGGAAAATCTGTTTAAAAGCCTCCAAAGAAGGAGCCTCCACCACACTTCCTATGACTTCCCCTCACAATGTTTATACATGGCCATCATGTCTCCTTTCATCCTTCTCTTCTGCAGGCTAAACATGCCCAGTTCTTTATGCCACTCCTCATAGGGCTTGTTCTTCAGACCCTTGATCGTTTTAGTTGCCCTCTTCTGGGCACCGCAATCTTCCTTCAATTGCGGTGCCCAGAATTGGACACAGTATGATTCCAGGTGTGGTCTGACCAAGGCAGAATAGAGGGGTAGAATGATTTCCCTGGATCTAGACACTATACTCCATTTCCCTGTGGCACATAGTGAATCATATGCAGTATGCATACCATAGAAGTGGAACTCCTCTTCCTGAAGACTTGCCTGGTCATTTGTAAGGTTCTGCAGATGTTGTTGTTTGGTGTGAGGGCTGGTCATATTTTTTTTCATTTAAATTGGCTTTCTACCAATGAATTAATGTATCTTCTCAGCAACTTTACATCTGAGATCCTAGTACATGTACTTCCATCAAGGTCAGTGGTTTTGATCTCAGGGGAGTTTTTTTTTTCTTAACAGATTGGCTTAGGACACAAACTAAGGAAGAAATGGTAATTTTCCCCAAAATGGAAGAGAGAAAGGAACATTAATATCCCATGATCCAACATATTATTTCATCCAGTGCAGTTTGGTATGGGATTGTTTAGACATTGAAATAAATAGGGTCTGGAGAACCCTATTTATTTAAGAGGAGCGGCTTAAAGAGCTGGGCCTGTTTTGTCTGCAGAAGAGAAGGCTGAGAGGAGACATGATAGCCATGCATAAATATGTGAGGGGAACTCACACGGAGGAGGGAGCAAGCTTGTTTTCTGATGCCCTGGAGATTAGGACGTGGAACAATGACTTCAAACTACAGGAAAGGAGATTCCACCTGGACATTAGGAAGAACATCCTGACTGTGAGAACTGTTCAGCAGAGTGTGGTTGAGGCTCCTTCTTTGGAGGCTTTTAAACAGAGGCTGGATGGCCATCTATCGGGGGTGCTTTGAATGCAATTTTCCTGCTTCTTGGCAGGGGATTGGGCTGGACGGCCCATGAGGTCCCCTCCAACTCTATGATTCTATTAAATTAGACAATTTAAAAAGAAATGTCTTGTAGCAGAGGAAGGATTCAAAGGCTTTTTTAGCACTGAGGACTACCTGTTTGTGTAAGTGGGAGTGTTTTGGGCTTTAATTTATGTCTCTCAATGAATGCCTGCACATAGGAGTAGGGAGGGAAAGGCTTTGATTTCATAATTATCTGAACAATTCTATGCCCGCCACTCTAGCACAAATTTGCTAGAGTGGAGGGAAAGCTGCTTGAGATCACTGGGAGAGGAAAGACTTAAAGGTTGCATTTGCCTCAGCACCTCCCATTTTATGCTGCCTTTATGAACAGTGTGATCAGCAGATTTGGGAGCAGGACCTTACTGGGCCATACCTGCTCCCCACCCCAGGTTGTGAACCTATAGACTAAGGAAATGGTTTGTGGACACCTACCTGGAGTAATAACTTTGATCTCAATAGGATTAGAGGGTATCACAGCATGGGGTGCCATAGCTGAACTTCCGGCTGGTCCTGAGTTTTTCCAGATTTCTACTTCACATCTATACATCCCCATATCCTGCCATGTAGCACTATGGATTAAGAGCTGGGATACAGAGGGGGATTTGGTAATCTTTGCTTTCTTCTGGGGGCTCAAATGAGGTGCAGATGAGCCCCACTCAACATTGCCTCCTGCAGTGACTTTGACCACTTGCTGATAGCCAGTCATACCAGTGCTGTCTTTGAATTGCCACGTGATGGATACCGGTGCTTGGCTAGTGATGCCATTTCCAGACACTTTGCAGAAAAGTTCAATATCTTCATACAGGTTTACATTTGGTTTTCTGCTGCTCAGCTCAGCATTTAAATTCAACCCTGTTAAGGTGAATAAAATGATGAGCACTGTGCATTAACATGAGAAAATCTCTGAAGGTATCACCACATTTTTCCACCCATGAAAAATCTCAATTACCTTACTCAAACATTCAAAAACCATATTTATTTTAAATGGATAAAGGCAATGAACTGACTGTAATGTGTATTTCAAATAAATATTACTTACCTAAAACAGGGACATAGAAATTTCACCACAAACACTTCAAGCAAGACCTTTCCTCTTCCCTGAAGGCCCACAACCTTCAAAGACCAGGAGAGGTTAGGAGACCCATTATGCTATGGCCATGAGCTATAGCCTCAAGGAGTCCTGTCAGCTTTGCTCCTTTCACTATTTGAGCCCTTCACTTGCCTATTGTCATCCCAATTGAGATGGCAGATGTTGTGCAAATTCAGCATAAAATTCAACTGGGGTGTAGAAGAAATACTTCGCCCATTACTCACTGTGTGTCCCTATATATAAAGAAATCGTTCCATGAGTATCAGAACAGAGAAAGGACAAATTATAAATGAAGTCTGGACATGGGTCTGGATTGATTCTGGTAGATGTTCTATCCACTAATCGATTCAACTCCAAACCGCTGATTTAAGTTATTATTCCTCAAACAAAAACTTACTATTAACAGTATAGTAATTTGCTTTACATCCGTGTATTTGTCGGGGTTTTTTTCCATGTCAGGAGCAACTTGAGAAACTGCAAGTCACTTGTGGAGTGAGAGAATTGGCAGTCTGCACGGACGTTGCCAAGGGGACGCCTGGATGTTTTGATGTTTTATCATCCTTGTGGGAGGCTTCTCTCATGTCCCTGCATGGGAAGCTGGAGCTTACAGACGGAGTTCAAGCCGCTCTCCCCGGATTTGAACTGCTGCCAGCAGTAATGCTAACACAAGGGTTTAACCCATTGTAGCATTGGACTATAACTCTGGAGACAGGGTTCAGCTTTTCATGAGGCCATGAAAACCCACTTGGTGAATAACACACTCTCAGCCCCAGAAACCACTATGGCACAGTGGGTTAAACTGCTGAGCTGCTGAAATTGCTTACCAAAGGTCGCAGATCAAATCCGGGGAGTGCCGTGAGCGCCCACTGTTAGCCACAGCTTTGTCAACCTAGCAATTTGAAACATGCAAATGTGAGTAGATCAATAGGTACTGCCCCGGTGGGAAGGTAATGGTGCTTTAGGCAGTCATGCCAGCCACATGACTTTGGAGGTGTCTACGGACAACGCTGGCTCTTCGGCTTAGAAATGGAGATGAGCACCACACCCCAGAGTCAGACATGACTGGACTTATTGTCAGGGGACTACCTTTACCTATGGACAACACTGGCTCTTTGGCTTAGAAATGGAAATGAGCACCAACCCCCAGAGTCGGATACGACTGGACTTAATGTCAGGGGAAAACCTTTACCTTTTACCCAAGTTTGCCATAATTCTGAAATGACTTGAAGGCACACAGCATTTTGCTGTAACCCTGAAGTAGTTTACCAGAGTGTAGTTTCTATCAGAATCTATATGGATTAAAAGAATGCTTTGTATCCTTTGGAGCTATTGTTGATTTTTCTTTGCCTGAAAACTCAATCCCCAGAGCAGAGACAGGGACACATATCATAAAGACCTCATATTATCCCGCCACATTATTCTCGTTCTTTTGAATAGATGCTTGCCGACCTGAATTGTTTCTGAGTCAGCTAAGTCAGACATCACAAAAGCATTGCCTTTGGCCCATCCAAAAATATCTCATCTTAGGCAGAGCTCATTCAAGAAGGCAAACATGATGTACAAAGAGTAGTTTATATAAATTTGCAACACTCTGTCTGTGTTGGGACTGTTGTTGTCTGCTCCTGCATAGCACCTGGAATGAGCATGCAAGAACCTTGAGGGTAACCAACCTTACAGCCAAAACTTGGAAAGGGTTCTTTTTGTAAATTTGTGATTCTGAGAGTTACTGGATAAAAAAGTAAAATTTCCAAATTTGTTATCCAATGCTGTGACAGACCATTAGTTCATCTAGCCTAAAACTGTCTACCTTAAATGGTAACAGTCCTTTTGAAGTTGTGAAGCAGAAGTTTTTCCATATCATTTAACCTTTTCTTAAGGGCTGCAGTAGCACAGCGTGTAAACTGCTAAGCTGCAGAACTTGCTGACCAGAAGGTTGGCGGTTCGAATCTGCGGGACAGCACTCCATGCTGACCACATGAACTAGGAGGTGTCTACTCTTCAGTCTAGAAAGGGAGATAAGCACCACCCCCCAAAGTCAGACTCAACTAGCCTTAATGTCCAGAGGAAACTAACCTTAACCATTTAAATGACACAAACTGAGCTGCAAAGCAAATGCTCTACTAATGAGCCATATTCTTTTCCCAAAATGCTATACCTTAGGAGAAGAACTAAAAGGTGCAATGTTGGGTAAAATAAATTAGCCAGAATAACTAGGCATGATAATATGGAAAAGAAGTAGGTTCATTTACCTAGTGGCTCAACTTTTGTTGAGATCTCTTGAGTCCAGCTCTTTCCCTTAGACAACTCTGCCACTTCACAGCGATAAAGCCCTGTGTCCTGGGTAGCCGAAGACTTATAGACGGTCAAGGTAAATATGGAAGGCCCCAGCTTCTCTAATCTGAGTTCACCATTAACACTGCGTTCCAAGTAGGAATGGCCTATCTTTAGCGTGCCATCCTGATCCAAGCTGGCTATGAACAATGGAGAATCTCCGTTCTTCTTAATATGCCACCAGGTCACAGATAGTGATTTCTCAGTTATGGTCCCATTACAGTGGAAGACTAAAGCTGAACCTTCCACGGTTTGCTCATGATTGGTTGACAGAAACAGTTGCATATGGCTTTCTGTAAGCAAGGGTGGGATGTAGGTAGGTCGATCTAGATTCAAAGAAAAGAGGAGGGAACATTAGCATTTAAACACAATCTATTATCTAGATCTTGGAGTTTTCACAGACATGCAGTGATTGTGCAGTTCCTAATGGAAAATTAACAAGATATGGTGTACATGCGATACCATAATGGTTTGATATGCTGGATAGCAAGGACCATTGTGGAGTATTCATTTAAGTATTAAATTACTATAAGAAATAACAAAGTTCAAATCTATTGTCGAAGGCTTTTATGGCTGGAATTGCTAGGTTGTTGTAGGTTTTTCGGGCTATATGGCCATGTTCTAGAAACATTCTCTCCTGACGTTTCACCTGCATGTATGGCAGGCATCCTCAGAGGTTGTGACCTCACAACCTCTGAGGATGCTTGCCACAGATGCAGGTGAAACATCAGGAGAGAATGCTTTTAGAACATGGCCATATAGCCTGAAAAACCTACAACAACCCAGAGTTCAAATCCTCATTCAGAGCTAAAGCTCACTGGCTACCTAGGGTCAATTGCTCTCTTTCAGTTCTTTCCAGAATTTCTTTGATAAGGAGAATTGGAGAAAAATGAGATGACAAATAAAATAAGTACAGAAAGAACAGTAAGCTGAATTGAAATAGGTAGTTCATCCAAAATTCTTCCATCTGATACACAGAAATGTTACTTACCAAACTCAAAACATCACAGGATAAAAATCTGTCCTACTGCCGTTGCATCATGATGGCATGAACATTTACAAGTTTATATCAGGTGCCAAAAGTCACCTTGTGGAATTTCTTAACCGATTTTGGTCTTCTAGAGTCCTAATCAAAGACCCTAGCAACTATACCACGATTTCCAGAATACTCTCCTCCACGCACACACAAAACTTTATAGATAATAAGCAGTTTAGAAAGACACACAAATATCGGGCTAGAAATGATGGAACAAAGTTATATAGAGTGAAAATAATTTAAGAAGTCATTGGGATTGAATCCTTAACTAAGAATGAAGATGACCAATGACCCTCTCCCAGTGAGTATATGGCAGGGGTCCTCAAACTAAGGCCTGGGGGCTGGATACGGCCCTCCAAGGTCATTTACCCGGGTCAACCTAAGTCTGAAATGACTTGAAAGCACACAACAACAACAACAATCCTATCTCATCAGCCAAAAGCAGGCCCACACTTCTCATTGAAATACTAATAAACTTATCTGTATTAAAATTCTTCCTCATTTTAATTATTGTATTGTTTTAAAGTGTTTTTTGCACTACAAATAAGATATGTGCAGTGTGCATAGGAATTCATTCATATTTTTTTTTCAAATTATAATCCGGCCTTCCAAAAGTTTGAGGGACTGTGACCTGGCCCTCTGTTTAAAAGGTTTGTGGACCCCTGGTATATGGAGTAGTGGTGACCTCAGCCTATTCCCACTGTGCAGCTAATGGTGGAGAAGGGGACAGATGGTAATTTTTCAGATCTGAAACAGGAAGTATATATATTTTTCTAGCAACCACTGATAAACAGGAACTTTGATTATTTCAAAAAACTGTGACACCAACAACAGGAAATATGTACACACTATCGGAAGTGATGCTTCCCTGTTGTCTTGCGGCCGCGAGGGAGAGGTTGCTGGAGGAAGCTGCGGCCGCGAGGGAGAGGCTGCTGGAGGAGGCTGCTGGAGGAGGCCGCTGGAGAGAGAGGCAGCCGGCAGCCGGGAGTCCGAGAGGAGGCGGACGGCTTCACAATCTGTGGAAGAGTGAGTTGGGAATCTGCAGCAACCGGCGCCGAGGCCGCCGCCGCGAGCGCCGCGAACGTTCGCTTGGCTGGACCTCCATTGCGGGGCCTCTGCCAGGTGGACCGCCGCGCCGCGGGAGCTGCTCGAGCCGGGCTCTGGTCACCTAGGCCCTGCTGCTCTATCATCTGGGCCTTTCTTCCCTCCGCCCCTTCGTTGAGGCCTACCACGGTGGCCGAAGCCGCCGCCGCCGCGAGCGCCGCCCCTGCTAGGCCTCTGCCATCTGGGCCTACTAAGCAGGCCGCCGCGTTGTGAACGTCGCTCCGGCTGGGCCCTACCATCTGGACCTCCATCATCTGGCTGATGCAAGACGCCTCGCCGTCGGGCCCAACATCGCTTAACATCGTCGCTCCTTCAACTGGGCTACTACCATCCGGGCCAATACCAGACGCTGGCCCCTACTGCCCGGGCCTTGCCAGGCGGTCCGTTGTACCACGAGGGCTACTTGAATCCGGGCCCTGGGCTACTTGAGCCGGGCCCTGTCCGCCTGGGCCTTTACCATCTACTACCATCTGGGCCCCCTCCATCTGAGCAAGCTGCGGGTAGTCCTTTTTTGTGCTGACCTTTTTTCTGTGTTGACCGATATTGTGTAGACCGATATTGTGTAGACCTTTTTGTGCGGACCTTTTCTGTGCTGACCGATATTGTGCTGCCTGTTTGTGCAACTTAAGCTGGATATAGACCAATTTGTGCTGACCACCGCCGTGTTGACCATCCCCGGAAGACTGAGAGACTCATTCGCTATTCTACATCAGCCGTCCATAGATTACATCTGAATCACAGCATCTTTACCAACTGTTACCATTGCCAATCTCCTTAATATTGTGTTTACATATTGCGAACATACTACGTTATTGTTCCTTGTCCATCTTGCTGCTAATTGGTATTAAGAACGTAATATAGCACTTTAAGGCGCCTGCCTCTGCTGCTAAACCGCACTTGCACTTACGCCCCCTTCCCGATCCCTCCTTGCCGCACTTTAGTTAGCGCTGAGGGCCAGATTTGGGTATTTTGTTGCACTTTAAGATCCTTGCACCTTATGAATTGCCCTAGTGGCACGCAGCCGTGTCGCCTACTGTGTTGCACTTTAAGACTCTTGCACTTTATGAACTATCTAACTGTCGCGGCTGAGACGTCTACTACACTTTACCACTATCAATCTTACTGAAGTGTATTATTATCACCCATGTGGTCCCCCATCCCCCTATTTGTACTGTCCTTGATATTAGTGACTAGTGGAAGGGGCAAGGGAGGAAGTGGGCTGGAGACCGTGGATAACAATGAGGTGGGGAGGGGGGAGAAAGGGAATCAAGGGAATTGGCAAGAAAAAACGCCAACAAACCAAACAACTAGCGAAACAGAAACTAAGACCTTGGATTTGGATTGCGGCATGGAGGAGGGGAGGTGTTCCACTAGCCGAGGGGCCCCCATAGAGGTCGTGGTGGGGAGGAGGAGATGCGGAAAAAGGAGACCTCAAATTCGGCTTAATTCGGACCGCTTATCTACATTAACAATCCCAAACCGGTCTCCTAGGGTAAATTGGTGTAACCAGGCTGGCGGGCCCTCCGGATTGAAGGTGGTGCTGTTGAACGCCAGATCTGTCAACGGAAAAACGTCCTTTATCCAGGATCTAATCCTGGATGAGCGGGCAGATCTGGCGTGCATCACGGAGACCTGGTTGGATGAAGCTGGAGGAGTGAATCTAACCCAGCTTTGCCCTCCAGGCTTCTCCGTGCAGCACCAACCGAGATCCGGAGGTCGGGGAGGCGGGGTCGCAGTGGTCTATAGAGATTCCATCCATCTGACCAGGAGCCCCATCCCGCAGACCACAAATTTTGAATGCGTCCACCTGAGGGTGGGTGACCGGGACATAATAGGGATTCTGCTAGTGTACCGTCCACCTCGCTGCACTACAGTCTCCCTACCTGAGCTAGCGGGGGTAGTCTCGAGCCTGGCGTTGGAGTCTCAACGGCTTCTTGTGCTGGGAGACTTCAACATCCATGCCGAGGCGACCCTCACAGGCGCGGCTCAGGACTTCATGTCTGCCATGGCAACCATGGGGCTGTCCCAACAAATATCTGGCCCCACCCACTGTGCTGGACATACATTGGACTTGGTTTTCTGCCAGGGTTGGGAGCAGGGTGGCGGTGTGGAGGAGTTGTCTATCTCTCCGTTGCCATGGACTGACCACTTCCTGATCAGATTTAGGCTCACTGCGCCCTCTAACCTCTGCAAAGGTGGAGGACCCATTAAGATGGTCCGCCCCAGGAGGCTTATGGATCCGAATGGATTCCTGACGGCTCTTGGGGATTTTCCCGCCACCTCGGTAGGTGACCATGTCGAGGCCTTGGTCGCTCTCTGGAATGGGGAGATGCCAGGGCAATTGACGTGATCGCTCCGGAACGTCCCCTCTCAAGTAGCCGAGCTAAACCAGCTCCTTGGTGTACTGAGGAGCTGGCAGTGATGAAGCGAAGGAAGAGGGAACTAGAGAGCGTGTGGCGTTCGGATCCGAGCGAGTCAAATCGAGCACGGTTTGTGTCCTTTTTAAGGGCATATGCCGCGGCAATAAAAGCCGCAAAGAAAACTTTCTTTGCGGCCACTATTGCGTCTGCAAGGAACCGTCCGGCGGAGTTGTTCCGGATTGTCAGAGGTCTTTTAACTCCCGCCACCTCAGGCGGGAGCCCTGACAATTCGGCCACGCGCTGCGAAGCATTTGCTCGGTTCTTTGCAGACAAAGTCGCCTTGATCCGTTCTGGTCTGGACACCATGTTAAATGCAGTCTCTGAGGATGTGACACGAGCACCGGCTTGTCCCATTTTGATGGATTCTTTTCAGTTTGTGAAGCCCGAGGATGTGGACAAGATACTTGGAGGAATGAGGCCCACCACGTCCATCCTAGACCCCTGCCCATCCTGGCTTCTGAAGGAGGCCAGAGGGGGATTGGCTGAGTGGGTAACAATGGTGGTTAATGCCTCCCTTCGGGAAGGCAAGATTCCAGCGAGCTTAAAACAAGCTATTATAAAACCGCTGTTGAAGAAACCATCATTGGACCCCACTAAATTTGACAACTTTCGGCCTGTTTCCAATCTCCCCTTTTTGGGCAAAGTCATGGAAAGCGTGGTGGCCGCACAACTCCAGGTATTCTTGAGAGACACGGATTATCTGGATTCGGCACAGTCTGGTTTCAGACCGGGACATGGCACTGAGACGGTCTTGGTCGCCTTAGTG